ATTCCAGAGAGAGCCTTTCCCCTGCTGTGCAATGCAGTGCCTGCACACCAACCTTCCCTGTGGTGTCACTCCATCTTGCACAGCACAGCAATGAATGAAAATCTAGAGAAGCCGTGTTTTCTTATATTTTTGGTTGTGAGCCTAGCCTTTAACAGCTGAGCCATCTCTCCAGCCCGAGAAGCCGTGTTTTCTAATAACAAAATAAAAACAGAATTGTCCCTATTGTCCTTATTGGAGGTTGCATGGTTTGCTGTCAGTCTGGTGGGTTCACTTGTGACTATGCAGGTGGGCAGCCACATTTACCCTCATGGATTACATTTTGAGACATTTCTTTCTGCCACCTTTCATTTGAAGTATAGAAGAAGTTAGGTTAAGAGCTCTCAGTGCATTGACCTCCACAATGGTCTACTTGACCTTCCTGGTAGAGCACTGTCAACTGTGGTTCTAAGGAGAGCCATTCTACCCAAGATGCCTCCGCCATATAATGTAAAGATTACACACCCCCAATTTCTTCTAATATAGTTTTCCTTTATCTTCAGAAGCAGAAACGTGTCCTGAATGCTACTCTAAAACAAGGTAAGATGCAATTAATTGTTTAAGGCAGTCTTTAGTGAATGCAGAGAAAAGAAACTAATATTTGTTACATACTCTCTGGACTAGACTCAATATGATGTATATACCACTTGTCGTCTCAGAGAAGTTACAGAATGTATGCAAAGTATCCAGTGATGACATATTTCTCATGCTAGATAGTGGTGGTGCACACCTTTAAACCCATCACTTAGAAGGCAGAGGCAGGTGGATCTCCATGAGTTTGAGGTCAGCCTGGTCTACAGGTGGACCAATGGAATTGAATCGAAGACCCTGATATTAATCCACATATCTATGAACACCTGATTTTTGAGAAAGTAGCTAAAATTTGTATAATTTTAATTAATGGAAAAAAGAAAGCACCTTCAAGAAATGGTGCTGACATGACTGGATGTCATTATGTAGAAGAATGCAAATAGATCTGTATCTATCACTGTGAACAAAACTCAAGTCCAAGTGGATCAAAGAACTCTACATAAATCCAACCTCACTGAACCTCAAAGAAAAGAAAGTGGGAGGTACCCTTGAATGCATTGGCACAGGAGACCACTTTCAAAATAGAACATTAGTAGCACATACACTGAGAACAACAATTAATAAATGGGACCTCCTGAAACTGAGAAGCTTCTATAAAGCAAAGGACACTGACAACAAGACCAAAGGCAGACTACAGAATGGGAAAAGATCTTCATCAACTCCACATCTGACAAAGGACTGATCTCCAAAATATACCAATAATTCAAGAAACTAGACATCAAAAGACCAAATAATCCAATCAAAAATTGGGGTACAGACCTAAACAGAATTCTCAACAGAAGAATCTCAAATGGCCAAAAGACACTTAAGGAATTGCTCAACATCCTTAGCCATCAGAGAAATGTAAATCAAAACAACTCAGAGACAAACAACATCTTACAACTGTCAGATTGGCCAAGATCAAAAACTCTGATGACACCTTATGCTGGAGAGGATGTGGAGTAAGGGGAACACTCCTCCATTGCTGTGGGAGTGCAAAGTTGTACAGAAGCTTTAGAATTCAATATGGCAGTTTCACAGAAAATTGGGAATTTATCTACCCCAAGACCTAGCAATACCACTTTTGGGCATATACCCAAAGAATGCACACTCACACCACAAGGACATTTGCTCAACTATGTTCATAATGGCGTTATTTATGATAGCCAGAACCTGAAATCAACCTAGATGTCCCTCAACCGAAGTATGGATAAGGAAAATGTGATTCATTTACACAATGGAGTACTATTCAGCAGTAAAAAACAATGACATCTTGAAATTGGCAGGCAAATGGATGGAACTAGAAAAAGCCATCCTGAGTGAGGTAATCCAGACCCAGAAAAACAAATATGGTATGTAGTCATGCATAAGTGTTTATTAGACATAAAGCAAAGAATAACCACCATATGGAACAACCACAGAGAAGCTAGGTAACAAAGAGGACCCTAACAGAGACATACACAGATCTGCCTAAGAATGGGAACAAAGACAAGATCTCCTTAGTAAATTGGGAGTGTGTGGGGGCAGGGGAGCAGGGAGACAGACAGGGAAGTAGGGAAAAATATATAGCTCAAAAAATGGCAAAATAAAATAATGAAGTAAATAATACATGTTGTATAAGTAATATTCAAAATCTCTTTGGAAGATATTCCACTGGCTTTTCTACTTACTGCCGTGAGCTGCCGTATCAGTCTAGTTCTAGGCCACTTTTTTCTAGTCTATTATCTTTCTTTTTTTTAAGTGACTTTGATAGTTTTTTTATTTTTAATCTATTTTCTTTTCCAATGAATATACTACTTTTATCGATGATTACTCCTTTTGGCTTCTCTTTCATTATTTTTGTATACCTGGCTGCTAAGTATTCCTTTGCTTGTACAGTTTCATAACTAGGTTGTTTTGGGGACTAATCAAACCACCCACAACGGTTTCTTGAACCTGTGTTCAGAATCTTGCCCAGATGGCTGCTCTGTTGGAAACTCTGTAACTAAAGGATTCTGCAATAGCTTCTTTGGATATACTAGGTGGCAGCAGTCAGGCTCATGACCCTTAAGTCTATGGCCAGTATGCACCCCCCCCATAGTGATGAGTATCTTAGTAAGCTGGTGGGTGAATATGGAGAATCCCAGTGAAGAGAATAAACATGGAAGTGACAATGAGGTCACTCTGGGCTATCCCAACAGCATTAACAGAACAAACCGGGTGTGTGAGGAACAAGTTATAGGTGGTTCTCATGTTTCAGGAAAGAGATGAATACTTTGGGAATTGTAGCCCATGTGATAAATATGTGGAAATTCTTGATACAGAATGGTGGGGAATCTAGAAGAGCATATTAGAATAGAGAATTCAAAAGAATTCTTGGGGGAAGCTCTTTTTTGTTAGACTGTAGAAACTGACAAAACTCAAGATTTCTGTTAAATGATGCTGAAATGACTTCAGGTACTCAGTGAGTTTGTAGTAGGTAGCATTTTGCTCTCACCTCCTTCAATGTTAATTTATACACAGTCATCCAGGAAAACGCAAATTGAGTCAATGGCCGAGAGAAGTGGGATCAGGTCAACCTGTGGCCAGGGTGCTGGTGCTCCAGAGGATTTGGCAGACTCAGAAAATGTCCTGTAATCTTAATCGTTTGAGGCAATTCTTACCTTGGTAACTGTGCTTTCATAGGACTGAGATTTAAGGTCAGAGAACTTTCGGATTAAATGCAATGGTGGTTGACTCTGAGTCACCAATAATGCACTGGCATCCCATTGAGGAAAGAAAGAAAAATACTTCCCTTTGGAGACATTTAACCTGGAACAAGTCCGTATTTGAGTTCTCTACGCCCACGTTCCCACCCTGTGAGTGTCTATCCCTTGACAAAGGTATTTTTTCTCTCTTTATTGAACAACACAGCATCACATGGGGAAGAATAGGACACTTCACAGAAATCTTCTACAGGGCTTACAAGGGATGAAATCATCCGCTCCAGTTGGCCCAGACAACAATCAGTAATACAAACATTATTGTTTACCAACCAATACCAAATGTTGATATTAACATTTATGGTAAACATTCACTTGCAGAGATTGCTCTTAACCTTTGTATTTGCTGCTTTCAGCGAATGATACACTTGTATTAAATGGGTCGGGAGCATGGAGTAGTATATAATTTAAGATTACAGCTAATAGCGTAGGATGTAAAAGTTGATAATGTGGGAAATCCAAGTCAAGTGAGTGTGATTGTCACATGGTTCTTTTTTTAAAGATTTATTTATTGTTATTTTATGTGCATGGATGATTTGCCTTCATGTGTGTCTGAATGTGCCTACTTCCTGTGGAGGCTGGAGGAGGATATCAGATCTCTGGGAACTGGAGTTACAGTTGTAAACTACCATATGGGTGCTTGGAATGGAACCCAGGTCCTCTGGAAGAGCAGCCAGTGCTCATAACTGCTGAGCCATCTCTCCAGCCCATGGTTCTGTTTAAAAGCAGGCTAAACAAAGGCTGAGTACACAATCAGACAGCAGTCTTAGCGCTGTCCTCTATGTGACCTCTAGGTGTATTATTAATCTGGTGTGAGGTCCAGCCAAAGCTCCCGCCTTTCAGAATGTGAGGGTGGTTTTATCATGATGCATTGCCATGGAGAATATGCCTGAGCCCTGAAGAAGGAGGGTGTGGGTGTGTGAGTGCACAGCTGCTCCTGGGGAATCAGAACCCACCGCCAGCTTGTTTCCCCACATACCCTCCAGTGCGGATGTGTGCCCAAGGGTGATTGTTATTGTTTGCTGGTTTGTGAAGCGCTGAAATGAAGGTCATCTAAAAAAACATTGGTTTTGTAATTGTTGATATTTTAGTCTTTCTGAAAGGACTATGGTCAGTAATGGTGTAGACACATGATCTTTAACTATCCTCCATCCACTTTGTGACATTTCAAAGATTCCATCCGTTCCAGGAGACACTGTGCTGTCTTAAGGGGAGGCAAAGCAGTGGCATCTCCCAGTCTGTGGTTTCAACTATGAAGAATCACGACGTCTAATTCTGAATTACAGTCATTAAACAGGAGACAGCAAAGAAAGAGCACGATATATTTGAATCTTGTGTTGTATTTTTTACAATTCAGGCAGCAAAAATATGTGTGAGCCAATAGCTGGGTTTTCATATCAGCCTTCAGGAGAGGAAATTTGTGAAGACAAATTATGGGGACTCTGCCAATATATGGTCCACCATTCTTTGTCGTGGGTATGTGACCGAGCCTCCATAAATAGTAAGTAGAGAGCTGAAGCAAAAAGACACAACAATCACTTGTTCACTTGTTTTTAACAGAGATCGACTTTAGCATCTCATAAAGAGATGGTATTTAGTATTCAGGTAACTAGTAACTGAAACACCCTCTTCTTGTTCATTTTTATTCTTAAGCCTCGCCCACAAACTTAGAAATCCCAAGCCCACAACAGAAGAAGATGAACATAGCTTCAACTCCAAGGTAAAATGCCCCTTTGTGAGATTAGTTTTCTCTTCTGAATTTTGGGATTTTATTATTATTATTACTTGTTCTTAAACTCATTGCTTTTCAAAAGCTGACCAGAGAAAAACCTTTATAATTGTGACCAGTTGAGTTTGGGGTTTGGCTTGTTTATTGGTTTTACTTTGAGAAATGCTAGAGGTAATAAATGCTCTCAAGCAGTGGGATTGGATTCAGGCATGGAAAACATATAATGGAAAGAGTTTTATAAGGCATAGTTTTCACATTAGAGCAAATGTGAAATTTGAGCCAGGAACTTTGGGATAAATATACATCACTGTGGTTTAATATATTGTACTGGGGGCTGGAGAGATGCTCGGTGGTTAAGAGCACTTGTTGCTCTTGCAGAGGACCCAATGAATGGTGGCTCACATTCATCTGTAGCTCCAGTGCCACGGAATCCGATGACTTCTTCTGACCTCCACAGGCACCATGCATGCACGGGTGCACAGATATTCATGCAGGCAAGCACCCATACGCATAAAATAAAATAATGTCAAAAGACTTAAAAAGTGAAGAGCTTACTGGTGTGACTTTCGTTCTATGTTTCAGAGTTAAGGAAACTGAAAACATGGGACAGCTGATAGATCATTGTAATGTCAGAACTGTCCTTGGGTATAGCTTCTTTCTCCTCCAAAACTTTGGATTCGTTTCATATTGTTTTCTGACAGACTGTGTTCTTGGTTTCAACCCTTGTTTCTGTATTGAATAACAAGAAAAATATACAATTACAGCTCATCAAAACTTATACTAGAGATTTCCCTTTATTTTTCTTATTGATTTAATTAAGTGTACACATGCACAGGGCCTGCAAGGAACTGCATCAGACCCTGTGTATGTGTTACTACTGCAAGCTTGGGGTTTTTGTGGGACTCCTAACTCTGGGAGCTGGTGTGTCTCTGACTTTTTTGCCTGCTCTTGGAATTCTTTTCCTCTTACTGCTTTTCCTTGTCAGCCTCAGCGTGAGGGCTTTTGCCTTGTATTTTTGTATTTTGTTTTGCCATGCTTGGCTGTTGTCTCTTGGAGTCATGTTCTTTTCCACAGGGAAAAGGAGGAGGAGTGGGTGTGGGTAGAGGGAGATGGGAGAGCTGGGAGAGTGGGGGAGGGGAAACTGTGGTAGGGATGTGTTGTATGAGAGAAGAATCTATTTTCGACCTATTTTAAAAAGTCTATAAAATTGAACACAACATTTTCCCCAAACAGTTACAAGCTGTACAAGTAGAGATTCAACCATGGAGTAAAAATATAAGTATTGAACTTTTTTGTGCTTAAGTTTTTAATAACAGCTCACATTCTCAGTTTTGCTTTCTAATGTTTTAAATTTTAGAAGACTTTTACTTATTTAAACAGTCATCTTGAGTCTTCTGCCCTTTAAGAGCTAGCAGAGGGAAGGAAATCTGCCTGATAGTGGGCCACTTTTAGTTCCCAGAATAAAATTCCATGCATGAACAGCATTTTAATAGATTTCAATGTGAAGAAAAAACAGAAAGATACTAGCAATTAATGGTATTGAATATCTTAAATGTACCCTAAGTTCGTTTTCCTTATTAATGCGTAAGGTGTGATTTTCTTTAAGGAGATCTGTCATAAATGAAAGGTAACAGCTTAGAGGAAGGCCACTAACAGCAAATATTTGCTATGTCCTTGGCGTTTTCCAACTATGGCTTTAGATTGGGTTTAGATGAGTGGTTCTTAGACATTTCAGCTCGTGTCTTTTTCATTAAATGTATTTTCATATTACACATTGCTGTCTAGCAGCCTAAGTACCAGTTATTTCTCTTGATTAAAAGTTGAAGCAAGTGGGCTAGAGAGATGGCTCAGAGGTTAAGAGAACTGGCTGCTCCCACAACCATCTGTAATGAGATCTGGTGCCCTCTTCTGTTATTTAAACTCACATACAGGCAAGACAGTAGACATAATGAGTAAGTAAATGTTTTCTTTCCTTTTTATTCTTTTCCTTTCTTTCTTTTTTTAAGGTAGGGTTTCTCGGTGCAGCCCTAGCTGCCCTGAAACTCAGGGTTTCTCTGTGTAGCCTTGGTTGTTCTGGAACTCGCTCTGTAGACCAGGCTGGAACTCACAGAGATCTACCTGCCTCTGCCTCCCAAGTGCTGGGACTGAAGATGTGTGCCACCACCACACAGCAAATTAATCTTTTTTTTTTTTTAAGAAAGCTGTAACAAGCCAGGTGTTGGTGGCGCACGGCTTTAATCCCAGCACTCGGGAGGCAGAGGCAGGCGGATCTCTGTGAGTTCGAGGCCAGCCTGGTCTACAAAGCGAGTTCCAGGACAGTCTCCAAAACAATACAGAGAAACCCTGTCTCAAAAAACCAAAAAAAGCCGGTCGGTAGTGGTGCACGCCTTTAATCCCAGCACTCGGGAGGCAGAGGCAGGCAGATCTCTGTGAGTTCGACGCCGGGCTGGACCAACAGCCTCCGAAACAATACAGAGAAACCCTGTCTCGTAAAAACAAAAAAAAAAAAAAAAAAAAAGCTGTAACAATACTTTTTTCCCAAGCTGTCTTTCTCTCTATTGGAAATGGTCCAGTTTTCATTCTGGAGAAGATGGTTTTGGTCCGTAGCTCTATTTCTCATCTTATAGTAATAAATGAACCTTTTGTCATTGCAGTGTTTACAAAAGCGCTCTTAGTTTTAAAAAAGCAGTCGTTGCTAGGCAGGGGTGGCACACGCCTTTAGTCCCAGCACTCAGGAGGCAGAAGCAGGCAGATCTCTATGAATTCCAGGCCAGCCTGGTCTACAGAGTGAGTTCGAGGACAGCCAAATCTACGTAGAGAAACCCTGTCTTGAAAAACCAAAAACAGAAGAAAGAAAGAAAGAAAGAAAGAAAGAAAGAAAGAAAGAAGGAAGGAAGGAAGGAAGGAAGGAAGGAAGGAAGGAAGGAAGGAAGGAAAGAAGGAAAGGAAAACAATTATTATTAGCAATACATAAATCCATAGGTCAGTTATATTTGTGACATGCTTTATTTTGTGTCTGTCAACCCAATACTACATTTGCCAAAAGTCAGTTCACCAGATCCCCTCCCCCACATACACATTGTTCACTGCTAGTATGACTATTAGATCTGAATTGCTAAAGGTTTGCTAGGTATGCAAGACTAATATCTGCAATTTAACAGTGGCAAATATATGCTATTTATTAGATCATTTGTTCAGTTTTAAACTACACTTGTCTGGCCCAAGTAGAAAATACACTCCATCAGGATGTTTGATTAGGCATAGGAAAACGAGGATGGTTTTAAAATAGGGTCTTGTTTTTTCTTTGTGATATCATAATGGTACCTTAAAATTTTAATTGTCCTGTCATATAACTTTATATTTTTAAATGATCTTCAGGTATGTTCTCAATATGTTGCCTATATTTTCCTTAGACCATCTGGCTCCGGGCTGGAGTGATGCTTGGAGCACTTGCGATTCAGTTCCCAGAACCACATAGAAGCACACAGTATCAGTAACTCCAGTTCTGGGGGCCAGACACACCTGCAGTGTGTATGTGTACATGTAGGTAAAAACGCTCACTAGTATAAATCTAAAAATTTTTAAATCTTCAAAAACAAAAAAAGCCGTTTGACTGAAGTTACCTACCTGCTCACGTCCAAATGGCTTGGACTCCAGGAGTGTAGCACTAGCCTTGGCTCAGAATGTAAGCATTCAAGAATTATTTCCAAAAGGATCCTTCTTGTAACATTTTCTTTTAAAATTTGTGGTTTTGTGATATTTTCAATGTTTGTTTTATATTGAGACCTTTTAATTAATGTACCAATGCACATTCATATGAGGGAAATTACTTGCATATGTTATTATAAATGTACATATTGCATATATAATTGCATACTTGACATTGCTATCTTTTCCTACCATTTTATTTTCATTTTTTAAACTTGGTTTTATGTAGGTTTATGTTATTTAATATTTTTCAGTTCAGTATATTTTGCAAGTCACTGTTTTGTTTGGTTGGTTGGTTGACTGGTTGGTTTTTTGGGACAGGGTTTCCTGTGTAGTCCTGGCTGTCCTGGAACTTGCTCTGTAGACCAGATTGGCCTTGAACTCAGAGATCCTCCTGCCTCTGCCTCCCAAGTGCTGGGATTAAAGGTATGTGCCACCACTGCCTGGTGAAAATCAGTGTCTAAAATACATGTGCTTTTCAAGTAATTTCATTTCCTCTTCCAAATGGAAGTATTCACTTGTATCTTCTAAGTCTGGGTGCTTCAAATGTCACACAACAGCAACTGAAGACATTTTTCCTGGCCCATTCCTAACTGTATGTCCATTTTCCCACCATAAGAACAATAGCATTCAGTGAACTATACTGAACTGTTGAAGCTGGCGAAACCCTGAACTCCAACCCTCCCCTTGGCCTTTCTTGCCTGTCTCAATTGACGGGGAGAGTAGACAGATTCCTGTAGTCCAAACTCCTCGCTGTTGAGAGCCCAAGACTGCAGGATGGGATCTGTGGCATTAGGAGAGGAACAATGGTTATGTCAACTCCGGAACATTTGTAAAATCACCACCTTTTCAGTGGTCATTGCTATCTATTAGAACTGCATTCATTACAGAGAGAGCCCCGGGTCCCATATAGTCTGTGAAGTGTGGTAAGCTTCTGGACTTTAATGTAGCTTCTGGTTTATCTTCTTTAGGGAATGGTTCTTTTTTTGTTTTCCCTCTTGCTTTTGAAAAAATGATATGCCACTGATCTCCATTTTCTTATTAAATAATGTCTTTAGTGTCTTTTAGTCCATCTTTATGACAAATCTTTGCTTATTTAGTTGCAATGTTTTGTTCACTAGCTTTATGTGGGTTTCTTCATTCACTTTTGTCCCAGTGGTATTGTCTTTTGTCACTTTTGGGAAAAGAAGAATTCATGTAGTCATTTTATACACTGAGAAGCAACACCCTATATGAATCCCATGTATCCAAGGCAGATGTTACAGAGGCAAACTTTCCCACAG